AAACTGTAGATTATAATTCAAATTTTAGTACTATATATTACCCAATTTCTAATTTAAAAGCAAATATTAAGAAAATACAGATAAACCGGTTTTTGTGTGTCACATGGTATATTGAATGCAGCACTGATTCAAATTAAATGTTTGTGAAGTCAAGATACTAAGTCTATGGTTTCGAACGAATTATAAACTCAAATTACCAATATTGACAAGCTAGAATATAAAGTAAGAGCCTTTTATCTTTTAAATTTGTAAAAATATTGCTCATGTAATAAATTAACCACTGTGGCACCCTACCCACCTCTTTCTATTTTTGTCAATGCTCCTTTATATACACTTACTTCTATATATGACATGAATAACCAGTTGGGAACTCAGAATGTTGCTCTAGTGCTTTCTCAGCCATTTTAACGGACTTGGTGGCATTTCTTTGTTTTGAGCCAATATTTCAACGAGGTAGGGTGTGTCTTCAGTTTGCTCGAAATTTCATATTTTTTTAGACTAAAATACATCTTAGATACTAAGCTTTATAAATTATAGTAGAATTCTGTGGTATTAATGTAGTAATTTATGATTTTTAGTTATTCAAATGTATATATAAAAACCTAAAAAAAAATATTTTGTTTTATATCCTCCACGCAAAATTCTTAAAGGCTTAGCAACCTACGTCAAGCAGCAACCGAGTACAAAGGTTATAGCTAGAAGAGAAAATTGTTTGCTTTGCTTTATTTTTTTGTTTACTGTTCTATGTTTTAGGAAAAATATGTTTAAGAACTTATTTCAAAATAGCAATAATCTATGTACATGTACAATGTATAATAATTAAAATGTGACTGTATAAGCTAAGTTACTGTGCTAAGATAAGTTACTTTGCACAGACCAAATGTAAGTTTTATATTATTTGATACAATAACATGAGTGTACGTGAGCCGCATCATTGTAACTTCTTCTGTATTGTTAGCCAGGCACGGGTGAAAGGTCAATATAATAAGAATAATAAATATATATAAATGTATAATGTTATGAGAT